ACTGCCGGAGTCAGAGGGGGTCAAATATGGACATTTTGGTCATACATATACATATGTGTCTTCGGAACCACAAAATTCTCGGGGGAAATTTTAATAACTCAAAACTTTTTTAACCAATTTTGAGTTTTTATGTCTTTTTGGAAAGACAATTTTGTAGACATTACGATTTTGCTATAATATCGCAGTAAAAACTTAACTCCCAAAGTAAGTAGAATTTAAAGGAAAGCACTTAATTTTGTTCGTGATGTCCCAAAAGAAATCCTTGATTTTTTGGCTGCTAATAAGTTGTTTTGTAAGTTGAGTTATTTATAAAACAATTTATAAAAAAACAAGTAAGAGTGCTGTATTCGGCTGTGCCGAATCTTATATACCCTTCACCATAGTGTATTTAAAAAATATCAATTTTATAAAATTTTAATTTATTTCATTTTCCCGACTATATCATTATTATAGCAATAGCAAAACATAATGAGAAACAACAACGCTAAACGAAACAAGTAGGAAAGTATAGTCGGGCATGGCCGACCATATAATACCCTACACCATGAGTATATTTTAAACATTTTTATTTTTCACAAAGAAACTTTTATGTTGAATTTTACCTTAATTCCAAAGTATTTAAGCAATTTATTGATAAAAAACAAATTTTCTTAATGAGGCTTTATATAGGAAAAAGATATCTTTTTATATAATAGTTAATTATGTTGAGTTTCATGGCGATACAAATGGTTACAAGTAAATTTTAGACGTTTAAGACATTTTTTGAAGGGGAGTTTGTATGGGGGCTAGGGTCAAATAAGGGCCGATCGTTACGAAAATCTGCAGTATCATTTATACTTATATAAAACTTTTTTATACTTATATAAAACTTTTTGACGTAATTATGGCATAGAAAGCCCAAATAGGGAGGTACGGTTGTATGGGGGCTAGGTGAAATAATGGACTGATTTCAACCATTTTCAATAGGCTTCGTCCTTGTGCCAAACATGCTTGGTCCAAATTTCATCAAATTATCTTGAAAATTGCGGCCTGTACCTTGCGCACAAGGTATTATACCATACACCCACTATAGTGGTGTAGGGTATAATAAACCAGGGTAGGTAAAAATATCGCTCGCGATCGCTATTTTATTTATATCGCTCGTTTTAAAATTCAAAATCGCGAGTTTTATTTTTCAACACGCGAGCACAATTTTAATTAGAGTTTTATGTGTTTTGCATTCGCTTCGTAAGCGATATTTACATGTTTTTGTTTTTTTTCAACTCGCTTACGAGCGACCCTGGATTATGTGAGAAGAGTACTTTTTGAATTTTCTATAATATTGAACCTAGAAATAAAAGGGAGACTTTTTGGTACAATTGGTATTTTTTGATATTTTATAATAAAATTCGTACTGACTGTTTTTTTTTATAGAGCTCTTACTAGTTCTATATGAGAAAAATATATATTGTTGCCAACCTTTTTGCATTTGTATTACACTATCTTAAAGAGAACATTGTTCTTTGAATCCTTGTTATGGAAATTTTAAGAAATCGCTATAATATTGCATGTTATAGTAAAGAGTATACTTTTTTATGAAAATGATTAAAATAATATTTGTATAATAAGGATCGAAAGCATTTTAGAAATTGCTTTCGGTGCGGGAAGTTTTTCGACCGAATCGATTTAAAAAAGAGCGTTATATTATCAGTACCGCAATTCAGTAACTTTTTAACGACAAAATTTTGTCGTTAAATAGTCAAAATTCGTTAGTTAACGATAATTCTAGTTAAGTGCTATTCTGTAGTAAAATATTTTCTATTTTTGTCGGTAATCATTGTCGGTAGTTAACGAAAACCTTCGATAAGCTAACGACTAACAAATAGTTCTTGTTAAAACATAACGATATTTATAATGTTGTTAATTCTATAGATAAATTTAACAAAAAAGGTAACTTTCAATAAAATATAAAACTTTTTATCAATTGCTAACATTGTTTTATTGATCAAATAGAAGAATAATTTAAATAAATTATTTAATATTACAAAATTGCACAAAAATGGCATTTGAATATATTGGTATGTATTTGGAAGATCATTTTCAACATCATATTCGGACTCAAGAACGAAGAATACTTCGAAATATGGAAAATCCATTTGATTTGAGTGATCGCGAATTTGTATTGCTCTATAGGATAGATAAAAGTAAAATGCATGACATTATTGATTCAATACAACACAGATTCACTTGTAATAGGATTACTGGAATTTCCCCGGAAAAACAGGTAGACAATTCATCTTTAAAATTACCAATAAGTAAATAAGACAGCTTTTTAAGATTCTTTCTGCAATTCGCTTTTATGCAACGGGATGTTTTCAAAGGCCTGTGGGTGAACAGTGGGGCATTTCTATAAGCCAACCCTCATTTAGTCGTTCTTTACATAGAGTTACTGATGCAATCAATGATGTGTTATTGAAGCAATGGGTCAAGTTCCCGATAACAACGTATGAAAGGAACAGTGTTAAAGAACAATTTCGAAACAGTTCATATCCCTTTGACGGCTGTATTGGTGCTATTGATTGTTCTCACGTTGCTATTCTTGCTCCTCCAAACAACGAAGGAGCTTACGTTAACCACCATGGTTACCATTCTTTAAATGTGCAAATGGTATAATATGAATGGAAATTGGTATTTTACAGACTTAAAATATAAATTATGCATTACCTTTAGATTTGTGATCCATACTTAAAAATATTAAATGTGAATGCACAGTACTCAGGCTCCAGACATGATGCATATATATGGAGCTCAAGTCCTGTACGAACTTTACTGGAAAGGACATTCAATAGTGGAGAGAGAAGAACGTTTTTAATAGGTCAATTATATGATAATATTTATGTATATACAAATACGTATAAACATAAAGGAACTATCTATAATTACATACTTCAGGTGATATGGGATATCCTTTAGAGCCTTGGCTTATGACTCCTTTGCCAGAGGAAACTCCCGGTACACCAAGATTTAGATATAATGAAGCGCTTTGTAAAACTCGTAACTGCATCGAAAGGGCTTTTGGTGTTATAAAAGCAACATGGAGATGTCTTTCAAGGCACAGAACTCTACAATACAAACCTGCTTTTGCCGGGAAAATAGTAAATGCTTGTACAGTACTGCATAACATTAAATGTCAGAATAACAACTTCTCATCTAATGAGTTTAATGATGAAGTACATTTTCAAAGTCAAGACGAATCCCTAGAACAAAACCAATCACTACTTTCAGTAGCAAGACGCATTCAAAACCAAATTATTGAACAATACTTTAGTTAATTATTTAATAAATAGCTACTAAATAAATTATTCATAAACATTTTTAATAAAAATTAAGATTTTATTTTAAATTTAAACAATAAAAAAGGCAAAATAAAAACAATAAATACAATTAAGGTTTAAAAACAAAGTTATTTAATTTGACGCTTTCTTCTATATTTGAAAGTACAATTTCCATTCTCTTATAAGAGGCCAAAATCTCGTTTAGAACGACGAAACTATCCGATATTTTATTTAAAGCTTTTGCCGTTTCTTTTTGCGCATTTGCTAAATTCTGAAAATGATAAAAAAGTTATAAATTATTTATGTATATTAACAAGTAAGTTTAATCAGTCAAGTCCAATTATATGTACCCTACATCTTCAGTAGACCTAATATATAATCAGACACTGTAGACACTCACCATCATTGCATCAGCCTGAGTTTTTGCAATTTGTAAAAACTCTTCTTTAATAGAACACTCCCTTTTTTGGCGCTTTTTTGGTATTTCACTTTTATTTCCGTTTCCGCAGTTCGATGTAGTGGGAACTTCTGAAATACTTGCTTCACATTCAAATTCTACTGTTTCTGTAACATTTTCCTCTTGTCCAGTGATCGTGATTTCTTCATTTAACTGTTGTATATATTGTAGAATGCAATATAAGTGTATATTAATTTAAATCGTATTCATAATTAACTTACCACAGTGGTATCAAAACTGTCTGGAACACTTTCATTCCCCATCATGTATTCCCAACCGACAATCCCTACTATTCTCTCTTCCAAGGGTGAAAGGAAATCTTCTGATAGGGGTTTATTTCCAGTCTTTGCTCTCTCTCTTTTTAAAATTTTAAATTTTGAGGAAGCTTTTGATTTCATGTCCCTCCAAACCTAGAATTTAAATAACAAATAAATAATTTGTAAAGTTATGGTAAAAATACTTACAATTTGCCATTGGTCAGCACTTTTAAATGCACCTGGAATTTTGTTTATTTCATTGGCCAAATCTTCCCATTTCTTCCTTGCCATTTCCTTACCATGCAAGGCAGCAAATTTCCCTTCAGCCAAACCTTTTTCATTTTCCAGGAAAGAAAGAAGTGCGGCATGTTGTGCTGCTGTGGCTCGAGGGCCTCGTGTTTTCTTCCTAAGGAAAAATTATTAAATTACACAAAATTTTCGCTTATAATTTAATACTTATTCTTTTTTTTCCATTTTTATGCATAAACTTTTTTTTAATAATTTTATTTATTTTTTATACAACTTTGACATTCTCACATTTGTACCGATATTTATCGTTAAAATATTCTGACGATAATATTCGTTAACTTAAATTAGAAAATAGAACATTCGTTAATGCAACCGATATTTTTCGTTACTTTACGATATCGGTAGTTAAAATTAAAAAATTACAGAATTGCGGTACAGGACAGTATTAGCTATAAGGCATTGCTATGGTATTTTGCCGCCGAAAAAAAAATCATTACCCCAAAAAGTATATATATATATATAATATATATATATATATATATATATATAGATATATATATATATATATATATATATATATATATATATATATATATATATATATATCTATATATATATATATATATATATATATATTATATAATAATTATGAATAATAGTTAAATTATAACCTCATATTTAGACAGCAACTTCATTTTAATGGAATATTTTCTTTTACTTTAG